AACTGAGCCCGCAAACTACCGCCCAGTGTCACTTCTTTCTGTATTATCCAACGTCATGGAACCTATCGTAGCCGATGCGTTGGTGTGTTATCTAGAAAGTTATAACATTATTGCTCCCGATCACACAGCTTTCATCGACAGCGATCATACACGATGAATTTATTAATCGCGCGGAGTAGTTTGAGCGAGTCAGCTGACGCTGGATAGGTTGTTGATGTGATCTACTTGGATTTGTCGAAGGCATTCGACCGTTTAGATCATCGGGTTCTTCTTTCCAAGCTCCAATAGTACGGGATCGGTGACCCTCCCCTGAGCTAGATCACCAACTTTCTCCTGCAACGACAATTAGTGGTGAGAGTCCGGCGTTCCCTATCTGAACCCGTACCAGTCGAGTCTGGTGTGCCTCAGGGCTCAGTTGTAGGTTCACAGTTGTTTTTCGTGTGCATCAATGACTTCGCGCAGAATATCGCTGCAAATTTCTTGCTGTTTGCTGACGGCATCAAGATATGGAGCTGGATTCAGGCGGATACAGATCAGAATTTACTTAAATGTAACCTAGATCTGGCACATGAGTGGTCAAGCCGAAATCTGTTACAGCTCAGCGTGGACAAATGCAAGGTACTCTACATAAAACACAAGAGTATCATTTCCTACAAGCTAGGAACGCATGAACTGCAACGGTCATCCGTCGAACGCGACCTTAGCGTCCTTGTTCAGGATAACTTGGGTTGTTCCAAGCAATTCGCAAAGACCTCGAAAAAGGGGAACCAGCACATCGGCTTGCTACGACGGGCGTTCGGACAGCTAGACACCACTATTTTCAGACAGATGCTCAATGCGTATGTTCGTCCCCATGTCGAAAACGCAATCCAAGCCTGGAAGCCATGGATGAAGCACGAGCTTACTGTACTGAACCAACCTCAACGTCGGGCTTCTAAATACGTCATTGGAATGCGCCACCTTCCGTACGCGCATTGGCAGAAACGTTTGTGAGTATTCAGCGAGCGGTATCGCCGACTACGAGGCGACTTGACTATGACGTATTTGTGATAGAGGTAAGCGCAGTCAATGTCCAGCTACGAGGTCGCGCACAGGCGTACCGAGGAGCACGTGAGTCGTCTGCTGCATACGAAGGTCACCAGCACGACCGTGGAACGACCTTCTACTGTTTTGCCAAATTTGGGAATCGGGTGCAAACTGATTGGCCAGCAAATACAAGCCCGAGTCAACGGAGGCGAACCATTCCGCCAAATATGGAAAATCCGTGGAACAGCATTAACTCACATTGGCTGCGAGCCAAACGCTTCCAAAATTAGTATGTTGCGTTCACCAATAAATAGAACTGACTTATCGTGTAGAATAGACTCCCTGTCTACCGAGCCTTGGCCTCCTGTATCCCGTCGGTTGGTTGGCCGCGTGACTGAGCAATCCGGCGGTCGTAGTCTCGCAGGCGCAGCATAGCAGCAGTACGAAGGCAGCTTTAGAACAACTTGATTTTACACAATCCAAATCATGTGTGCTGCTCTTTACTGCAACTCGGCAGTGACACCAAACTTAGAGGCCACTCCTTGAAATTGGCAGAACAGTACAACCACATTAATGTTGGCATACCCACGGTGATCCTAAAGGAACTATTGCTCAGATGCACGTTCAATGTTCAGTTTCTATTCAATGGCGAATTATACCGGCAGTGCGATGGGGTAGCGATGGGTTCCCCACTGGGTCCGTTCCTAGCCGATATCTTCATGGGCAAGCTGGAACAGGGAAAGCTAAAGCCAGCGATCTCAAGTCTCGGTTTATATTGCCGTTACGTGGACGATATTTTTGTCTTGCTTCAGTCGTCTCGAAGTATCGATGAACTAACAAACACTTTCAACCAAGGCCATCCAGCAATAAAGTTCACCAGCGAAGTGGAGCAAAACGGTCGCTTTCATTTCCTCGATGTTGCCATGAAAAGACTGGATGGGGGTGCGCTACAGCGCTGCGTCTATAGGAAAAGTACTTGGAATGGGCAATACACAAACTTCTACAGCTTCGTGCCACTTAGGTTTAAACGGAACTTGATAAATACCCTAATGAGCCGAGCTGAACGTATCTGCTCGAATGACACGCTTGCGGAAGAATTAGAGTGCATTCGCTTAGTGCTAAGGGAGAACGGCTATCCGGAAAGCTTCATCAGAGCCAACATGGAACATAAAAAGAAAAAGCCTGTAGTTTTGACAGTAGAACGTAAGCCAATCTTCCTACAGCTGCCATACAAGGGCGAGGTTGCGACGGAACTTCTATCTCGTCGTCTTTCGTTTGCACTCAGACGCACCTATCCAGCAGCGCGGATGCAAACCCAGTTCACTAGCTTTCCGATGGTGAGACTAAATTCAAGGGATAAGAGGCCTGTCCACACCGACTCAATGTGTATCTACTCATTTTCTTGCTCCTGTGGAGCGGAATACATTGGTCGTACGACACGGCGTCTATCCGAGAGAATGAAGGAACACCATCCGGTCGGGCTTACAAATAGAAGTGGAAATACAGCGAACTCATCAATAGCCGCGCACCTAGCCGATACAGGACACGTGACAAAGTTCAACGATTCATTCAAACTAATCTATCAGGCCCCAAAGCACCGCTCGAACTGCGTCCGTAAGCGATTACTAGAAGCCGCTGAAGCAATTGCCATCAGGCTGTATGAACCGGAGCTATGTGTTCAGAAGAAGTTAACTAAAGGCTTGGAACTACCCTGGCCCAAACGGCCGGTGACCTCTAACCCACGAGGCCAAACGCGGTCGATTGTCGTCGCCTAACAGACAGCGCTGTCAGCATCCAAGTAACTCGCTCCACTAGTAACGACTTATAATGTCTGTCTACATTTTGATTTTGATTTTGCATATAATTGTATAAGCCTGAAGATGAATTATCGAAAACATATGTTCGCTTACTCTGACTTCAGATCATACTATGGGATTTTTTAAAACAGTACAACCGCTTGGAGTGCAGTAGTAACTTCTTTTCCATTCATGTGTGTCAATCATGGAATGCTCTCCCCGAATGTGGGGTTTCAGCATCCACACTAGCCATAGTTAGAAGTTGGTTGGATGACACACTCCGCCACTTACATTTTGTTACTTGACGCTACTCTCCATCCTAATCCCGGGAAATACCTTAGATTTACTAGTTTTTGCCTAGTAAAGCTATGGAAACGCTCGAGGTGCAGGGCTACTGAATCAAAAACGAGAAGTCCATTAGTTTGACAGTAAAAGTACTAACTGCTTTTTCATTGATGTTTTTCGCTAACTCAGCAAACCACCCAACGGGGCTCGTAAATCAATGCTTCTTAACCCGTATAAAATCATTGTTCGTTGCTCATTGTTCATCTCAACAGATTGCGGTCCCTTGTACCTATTTCCCCTCCCACGACTGAGGACCATCAAAGCATAATTTGTTCCTCTACCGTTAAATATCTCGAAGTTTTCTTATCCCATGATTTATCTTGGTCCATACCGAATTTTAAAACTTGTAATAGTTAAAGGCCACACTTTTCACGTCCTCGGACTCAAAATACTTTCCGTTTTCCGTACTTGTATCCGAAGTTTGTAACTGGTGATAATTTTCTTCGGACTTCTGCAAAAAGAGTACTTCCTCTTTATTCGCCAAAATTTGTTTTTCGTTACTCTGGGCCTGGAAAAGTGACCGCTCACGGAATTTATCGTTAACAAACATTTCGATGAGTGTACCAACTTTTTATCCGGGATTCTACACAACCTCTCTCGCTCACTGCATACTAGTTGATCCAGTACCATCTACTTCTTCCACCCGGACGAAATTTAAAGTTTTACATTGTCGTGCTTCACGGTATGGAAACTCCACCCTGCCTTACTTATCATGCTTACTAAACGACCCATCAGGAACGAAACACCGTTTTCGTGAAGGTATGCCTGACTGCTGTCAATTGTATTGCCTCAGTGACGCTTTGTTCCGCAGTGTTAGCTTGAAGTGCGGAGAAAGCTTAATTTGACTTGGAGATGTTTCGGTGCTGCTCCTCTGTTTGACGTCATCATCATCATCCTACACGTTAGCTAGAGGTGGGGAACACCTCAGCTACTGTGCCGCAATACAAAGAAGGAGAAAAAAATGCAACTGGTGCACGCTGGCTGAGCTACCGGTAACGGATGGGCATCGTTCCGGTAAGCTACCAGCCGGCTGCTGTGCACCCAAAAAAATTATTATGCAAAATTATATAGGGCTAAATAATGAGATCGTGGTTGGAGGGGGAGGCTAAGAGGGATGGGGTGGGACAAAGAAACTCACAGCACGAACGCCACTGAGGTCGGCTCCTAGCCATACCAGCAAGTGTGTCCAAGCAAACGTGTTCATCGTCTTTCGGACCCCAACCAGGGAGCCGAGACGCTCCAACCGAGGCCAGCTCAGAAGTGAGGGCCTTCATTCCTCTGGACCAAGTCATCGCTTGGCCACCCCTCCTCTTCTTCCATCCACACCTCCGGCGCGCAAACAACACACGTCGCGGGAGTCGGTGGGCTGGCATGCGTAACACGTGGCCGAGCCATCGGAGCCTGATGCGTGAAATAACGGTGCTGAGCGGTTCGGTTCGTTTTCCTGTGCCGTAAACCAGGCGTCGAACACGCTCGTTACTCACGCGGTGTTCCCACCAAATGTGAGCTAAATTACGAAGGCACCGGTGGTCGAACGTAACTTCTGTTTGACGTGATGCAAACGGAGTAGGAATGGCACCAGTGGACGGATACCAAGTAAAAAACGTCACTCACGGTTTCCAGATAAAGTTACTTGCTTAAACTGGCTGAGTAGTTTAAAATCAGGTCTAACGGAAAGGGGGCACAGCAGTCCTTAAAACATAGAAAACGCGACATAGCAATTCGAGTTTACGCGCAATAGATAAATGGCCACACTCTGTTCGTGAATCACAGATTCATGATAGTGTCCATCCTTTGTTTTGCCATTCGAAGAATGGTGTATGGAATTCTCACCGTATGGCAAAGTACTGCTGCCAAACCCGTAGACACTCGGAGCGAGACAAGTGGATTGGCTTGGGACGCATGTGCACCGGCTTGCCGTACGTCCGACCAGGATCCCGAGGATACTTCAAGAGCACAGCTTCAATTTTATCGAAAAAATGATCAAGCGGCTCGGTTGCACTGACAAGTGGGTGAAGATGAATAGAACGGAGAGTGGTTCGTAGCAGTGATTGGTCATGGTCCGAGGAAGACTCCGTAGGCTGCGATGAGTGATGAGCGCTGGAATCCCCTTCCAAATGGTGTTGGTGATGCATCACAGACTCTGTTTTGCCGTCGGAGGTGGTTGTGGAATTTTTCGACTGTGATGCACAGTTGGATCGCTTGAAAATTCCTAGCGAACCGCACGAGCACCAAAGGGAAAACGGCAGGTTTGTGGTTTAGACACAGAAGCCGTGGAAGGGAAGCAAAAGGAATTTGATCGTTTTGACTAGTTGCTGTATGAAGGAAGAAGGAGAAGTGGGGATAGTCAAGTAAGTAAGTTTATTACAGCGCAGGGAAAACAGACTGCTAGAGGTGTGTATCAAGATGATGGGTTGTGAATAAGTTTACTGCGGCTGAAGATCAAAGCCAATGGTTTATACTGTGTTAACAACAAGCAAGTATAGATAGAATGTCAACCGAAATGGCTGAACTCAATGGCAAACAACAGCAGTTGTGAAGGAAACGACCAAAATAAACAAAACTCCGGGCAATGAACTAATGAGAAATGTGTCCAGGACGTGGAAACAGAATGAAAGGAATGCAACAGCGTGGTTAGACATGAGGTTCTACGGCATATCCAAATGTCCGTAACACGAAACAAGTGACTTCATTGTGGTGATAATGGTTCAAGCTAGATAAATTATAAGGCTTAATCAACTACCGATTTAAGTAGTGAAAAACGACACCATGAGAACAAGTTGACGGAAGAATGTCATGAGCATATGGTGGGTGTTTCGGCGTGTGCAAGTTGGGAAGTTGCGCCTTTAAAAATTCGTCGACAGTGTATCAGTACGGTTTGGCATTATAGAGAACCTACAGATCCCCCCAGCTGGGTGGTTCGGGATTATCCCATTCCAGCGAAAAGCTCGGCGGCAGTGTTCCAGGACGTGGTGAGATTTCGCCTGACAAGCCTTCTCCCTAGAAAAAGCCACATTTAACCGTTTAACAACACTGTGACGTGACGGATGGGACGCTACTAAATAAAGCCACTGCCCCTTGCCTCTCTCTGAGTGGCATTGTAATTCAAGGGTGTGTTGGGCCCCTGGTCCTATGCGGCCCTAAAGGCCCATGAACCGCTTGTTTGGTCACCGGCTTCCAACGGGTTTCGACACCCTCATATCGCCCTGCTACTTTGTAGGTTAGATCCTGGATTAGAGGCTCGAGGTATTGCCCCCTAAGACAACCCTCTACTTCGGCCTGGGCAACCGGGTAGTATCTCACCCACCGATGCACCTTGGATGGATCATCCACTTCCTTACCTCAATAAAAAACATCAAACTATTCAAAAACTGCGAGTGAAAAGATGCACAAAAACTGTTTATTTGCTTTGTTCATTTAATCTAACCCTGTTTTCCTCATCCGCCATGGTTCAGATGACACACTATCTGCACTCAGATTGATATATACATACATATATATATATATATGTATATATACCGAGGCTGATACTGCATTCTTGATGCTTCTTCACCGCAGTTGGGCTAAACCAACTTACACTTAAACTAGGTCTTTATAAGTTGGCTAAATTTCATTCCACTTTATTTGGTTTATTCTGTCTACCTGAATAATCTTATATTAACTGGCCACGTTGCTTACACTAATTGCACTTATCTTCGGTAACTTTGTTACGTTTGTAGCATTGTTAACTAACTTGTGGACATATTTTCCTTATCGCGGAGTCGCTGCTAACCAACTTACTTCATATGCTAATTTAGCGAGGAGTTATGCCACCGTATCTGTATGCATTATTGGATTTGTTTTATTTCATCTTGTCGTTTCAGGTGATTGGCTGTTGCTTGATATCCCCAGTGTGGCTGCGCTTGATGTGCATGTTGACAAGGTGCCTACCTGTTTATTACCCATTACCTCGTCCATACTGGTTCCAGGAGACAGTTGGTCGTTGCTGGAGGGAAAGGGGTGCACGGTCCTTGTGGCCGTGTTAGGCTCCAAGAGTGGTTCCATGCACTCAGTGTGGAGCGGACTACGATCCAGCCACCGCCTTGTGTGCGCTTGATTTCCCAAATACAGTGTGCTTGTGTTTGCCTGTGAAGGAGTGTGGGCCGGCTCCGTTGATGAAACGTGGCTCCCATCCACATGCCTCCCGGTCTTATTCCTTCGGGTTTACACTGGATATGTGGTGTGTGGATGGAGCCGTGGGTGGTGCAGCTCAAGCCACCCATGGTTCCTCTGTAGGCGCAGGCGTCCTGTGGCTGGCCACAGTGACAGGCAAATCCGAAACCGGATGCCACCAACCATATATATATATATATATATATATATATATATATATATATATATATATATATATATATATATATATATATATATATATATATATATATATATATATATATATATGGAAGAGACAAGGAGCAAATTAAAAAGGTAGATTGAGGCGCAGCGCCGATTTCTGTTGTATATTTGGATGGGAAATAGAGAGATTGGACACTTTACTTACCAGAGACCCCCATTTGACATTAACTTTGTACTTTGTGTCCCTGTAACCGTTGGCGGCTTTCTTACAAGGTCGTTAGGCATCCGCTCAGCAATCTACTAGCCTCCTGATTGTACGCTTGTCTGTGCGCCAATCCCACCAAGTTAAATTGCGATTTCAATTAAACATACTCGGGTTCACTGCATCCTACTACTCAGATCACAGATGGGCAGGTGAAATAAACTATGCCAGTCAGATTAGATGACCAGAGGGGTAAGCGTTGTAAAAATGGGTCCTTTATGGATAAACGATTTGTTGTCGGGAACTCAAGCAACAGGAAAATGTGATATGGCCGGTTCACACACCGCTTTCATGTATACTGTTCAACCAGTACTTTTACTAACGACGCAGTTTTACCAAAAGTGTTCCCTTCTTACTTCAGTTAAACGACAATCAGCATCGAATCAGCTGAGCGGCCAATAGCCGAAGCGGTTCGTTTCGCATCTGATCGGCTGTCCAATAGGTCTCGCTGGCAGGTTTCCCAGTAATCACGGTTGAGCGAATCCATAAGATGGCTGAGAATGGTGCGCTTCACTCACCATCCTTCCGAACGTTCACCGATGAACCCATCTAAACATCCGTTCGCAAACAATCGGCTTGAAAATGATAGTGACAGCTAAATTACTGGCTGTTTGGAAGCCTGGTTGGTGTTGAATGGATTGCTGGTAACTGTCTTTCAACCCGGATTGAGTTGTTGCACTCAAAGTGTAACACTTGATAGAGATCGCACTTGCGTTTAGACCAAGAGAAGATTGAATGACAGTGCTGAAAGCGCTTAAGTGTCTTAGTCATCGAGGAAGTGATGGGTTACTGGGGCAGATGTTGAGATCGGTAGAGACAAATCCACACGGGCGCACGGCAACTATTGACACCTGGCAAGTGGATATGAAGCCAACTTCAAGAGTAGGGTACAGGTTTGTTAACTTTAGGACTGCAGAAGAGCTTTGTAAACACGTAGGCGCCCGAAACTAACCCGACGTCTGCAACATGGGACTCCCATGCTACTGGGGAGGCGGGCGCACTGCGTTTCTCAGCCGATAAGACTTCGGATATACTTAGACCTCTGGTCACTGACAGATGAGAAACAGATGCTAGCTAGTTGATCTCGATGCATGGCGAGAAAAGTGGAGAAAGTGGCCGAAAATAGAGTAAGGCAAAATGTAAACAAGATGTGGGACGCGCATAACACACACAATACGTTGTGGCCAACAGGATAGCTGGTAGTTAAAAATCGAGCAGTATCATGGTATGGAAGTTTGAATCACCTTGACCTATCCCAATAGAATGAACAAAGAGGTTGCTCGGAATTAAAATTGAGCAGTCACTGACTGCCAAACAGCCGAAATCCTAAAAGGACAGCCGCTCAGTCGACTCACTTCATCGAACTGGCAGTGTTAACTGGCGCATGTATTACACTTCCCGATATTCTGGCGCCGTACGCCATACAATGATGTATGGAAATTTCCCTCAACCCCGGAAGGATAGATCCACATGTGAGCGCACTGAAAGGTTAACGGAAGAAAGGCGAATGGTCAAAAATGTATGGCATCGGAGTAGCACAATGGAATAATGGTATATTACGGGCAACAAAGCGGATGTTTAGCAAGTCCCGTAGAGTGGCCAGAATGAGAACCACAACATGGTGAATAGAAAACGAAATGATAAAATGAAAATCGTTCGGGTGGACCTACCACAGTGTTAACATATCGACATGCAGAAATGGCTAATATCAGTTGTGTAAGCTAATTCTGATTGTGCAACTTCCGTCACATTATATCGTCTGGCGAGACACACAGGCCATCTCTCGTAATGTTGGATGGTTAGAGCAATGTCAAGGCGCCTTTTAAACATGCGTAATTTGGGGGCGGAAACAACGTCATTTGGGAGGACGTTTCATGGCTGGCACACAGAAGAGAGTAAAAGTTCCGTCGACATTCTAGTCCATGTGCGATTTCTGTTAAGGCAGATAACCAAAACCCAGGAGCAATATGATGGATTGTGAAGCATTCTGACTGCTTAAGTTGAAGACAGAATTAGTGTTAGTCGGCCGCACATTGAAGGTGCAGCGATAGAGAACTTTGTCTTGCCTGCAACCTATTGACCAAGATATACCAATTACTGGTAGGAAAAATCCGCGGCGCTCCGGCACCTCGCCAAGTAGGCTGAACGTGCGGTCCCTTGATCGCTGTCTTCCAGGGCTAAGCTAGGGGATGGAAACAAGAACCTTTCGCATATCCTAATGAGGATGATGTTGAGATCGTGTGTCGTCTAACCCACAACCATTAGCTACTCCGGCGTGAGAAGTAAGAGAAAAGATGGAAATTCGGGCCCTACTTGGTTCAACGGAGCACGGAGTTATGCAATCCATCGCGAACCGGAAGGCTTGATCTCGGCTCAAGAGACAATAGCCGAGGAATAGAGCTAAAAATGTTGGATTACGGTGAACACAGATACAGCGAGGCGTTTTTTCCCCTGGATCCTAACTAAAAAATCCATATGCATAAACAGCGCAGTTTTGTCAGTCGGAACATCTCAAGTGAATGCTATTTAGTGAAGTCCCATAATAAATAAAAAGTGATGCTAGTAAAATGCCTTCGATTAGAGTGTAGTACTTGTGAATGTAAAGAGTTCAGTGAAGGGCTGACACACAACAGTATTGAAGTGCCACACCAGTAACTAGTCTAAAAAGAAATATGATCACTAGATCCAGACTGTCCCCAATAAAAAGTGGAATGGTAAAGAAACAGAAAGAAATAAGGCGATAGCGCATACTGGTAGCAAGCAAGCGAAAGCAACATCCTGCAAACTTTGATAATCAACAGGGTTACAACATAGCAGCAAGGATAAAAAGGAAGTGTCTGAGGCGTGACGGTCAAAGTTTACCTAAGGACGGATGGTGTTTGCAAGTAAAACTGAATGCCGTAAGCGGTCATTTAAGCTACTCTAAATCGCCTGAACAAGCGTAGTGAAACGCGGTAGAGGTAGTTGTCATGATTCACGTTTTCAGGAAGCTACTATCATCAGACCAATAGTTAGGATTCAGAAAGGAAGAAACAAACGCAAGAGCGCCATGCACTCTGTAACTGTGCCATATTTGACAGGGTAACTGACCACTGGTGTGACCGACTTCAAAGTTCCCATCCACAAAGACGACACAAAAACCTGTGTACATATCAACGAATTCCTTTATTGTCCCAAGTTACGCCAATGACTGACCTCCTAAGGATATGAGGATGCAGAGTAAATAGGTGGCAGGTATCAGCAGTACGTCGGTACTGCGTACCGGCGCTTCGCTGCCGCGTAACCACTATCAGTCGCAAGTGAGTTAAGGATACTGAGACAGTCGCCTGGTCCCTATACAGGCTCGAACCCGCGCCCTCGGATTACAAATCAGGCATGTGATTCTTAGGGATACGGGCCGGCAGCATGCAGAGTACACATTTGGTAAGCGATACAGATTGAGACGATTGCCTATCAGATATGTAAGATACAGGTTTTAGCCAGCGTAAGTGGAGCGGGTTCAACGGACGATTCAGCATATCACCAGAAGACATGTTATTAGAACCCAACTGGTGAACACCAGTAGTACACACTCTGTATTCTCAACATATATGTGTGGTACTCCACAGGCATCAGTGGTCTAACACAATCACTGCTTACGTCAAGCGCCGTGGCCATTCTTCTAATCTACGAAATAACAGCACTGCAGTGTTCTAAGCAATGTGCTTTAGGAATAAACTCATATCCCTAAGTGACTGAGAACTCAAAGAGCCACGTGAACATTGTCGCCAAGACCAGTAACCATGGGTGTGAGCTGAACAGAAGTGATACAACTATCCAGATAGGTAAACTGATCAGTCGCTCCAAGTGACTGTTTCGCGGCTGTGAGGTGTCGGCCCAGTCGCCGCGTACCGAGATTTTGCCCCAAGAAAGTGAGAATCACAGGCTGAAAATGCGGCAATGCGTGTCAGTCTAGGCAACAGTACATGTAAGGCAGACGGATCGGGTCAACACAGAACTATGCCGCCGGTGTATTCAGCAGCAGTGCTACTCCAGTAGTGAGGAAAGGAAGCAAATGAGCGATATTCATCATAATTTAGACCACAAAGTCAAAGAGAAATAGAAGGATAAAGCATCTCAGACAGACTGTAAGTATCGCCATGTGCGCAGTTTGCCTTGCGTGTTGTAGTGCGGACTTTGAGTAGTTGTACGAGAAATAGTCTCGGAAAAATTTGTTCAGAGTAGCCAGTTAAGAGAGATGTACACAACAATTTCCATCAGGTTGGCGCCTCGGAAGTAAAGAAGCGAGGGACGATATTCCACACAAGTGCTGATTGTAAGGAAGTCTGGGTCACCAAAAGCAGAGCCGGGAAAAATGAAACGCATCGTAGGACGGGTGATTCCATATCGCCTTCGCTGAGAAATAAGTGATACCATCCAGTGGTGTTCCTACATACCTGCCCGCGCTTCTTGCAGCTGACGCACTTATATTTGAAAATGAAAACTATTTCTTCTTACGGACCCAGTTTTACTTGCAACTTGACCTTTCCATTGTCTATGGACTGTGTTGAATTTCGTTGTATTGAGTTGATAATGTGACGTCGGCCGGTGGTTGAAAGGATTGCACGGTTGGCTTGCAGTCCTCAGGTTACCTGTTCGAATCCGAGTAGGGGCGGGCGTCCTCGCGCTTTACTCAGTCTACGCGCGACCGGCGGTGGTCGCGTGGCAGCGAGGCGTCGACACGGTGTGCCGGCGTAGTGCTGATGATTTTTTGGCAATTTTACTAATGTGACCCACTTCAACCGAGTCCTTCGGTGTATCTACAAGAGCAGATTATCCCAATTGTACTGACTGTATGCATAAAGGTATCTTAGACGCAAAGAACTGGCTCCTACTCCAAACGTGCAGGAGTAAGCTTCATGTAAAAGTGCAAAATTTAAGAGTGTGTCTAAGTGATGTGGCCTCATCCAGTAGTTCGGTCAAATCCGACAACCCAAAAAGGCATCAGCAGTATACCGGTACGACGTACGGGCGCTAACTGCCACGTGGCCAACAGCAGTTGCTTTGGACCAGGAACATTGCGACATCGCGCACACTTACACAGCTTCTAGCCGGCAATCTGTGGATTACAAGCCGCACATCTGAGCGATTCGCTACCGACCGGTTCAGCAAGCCGACTGTGGTCTGACCATAGAAATGTGTCAGACCTATTCGTATTGACTTACCTCCCGATGGTAATGAAGGCTTTTAGTAAGGGCGAATCAGAAATATTAAACATCCACTTGGAGAGAGTTAGAAAAACGACAGAATTGTTGGATGAAATTGTCGACGGTGAGAAGCAAGGGATCAGATGTAGGAGCAACGACGACAATTTATTGACTGCATCACCAATTAAAAACCTAGCGATTCTGATGCACACAACGAGTAACGAGTCTTCCTTATCACAAAATCTCCTGTTTGTATTTCAATGAAATGGGTGTATTATCGGTATAAGTTGTGACTGTCTAAGAATGATTAAAATAAAAGCAAGCTGCATAAACGGGTACTAGCGGGCAACATTGTGGCGGAGGTCGCATAGCTTCGCGAAGATTGTGCCGATTGTGCCCGAGCTCACCTCAGCCATACTGTTACCATGCGGCGACTCAGACCGTGCAGATAACAACTGGGACCTGCTAAGGACATCGCTGTACCTACCGGCTCAGGCCGCAGTGAATCAACTGAGCTCTCGTTAGGACACTACAACATCATGGCAACTCATATGCCATTACAAAGATCCACCTTTATCTACAGTTAATTTATTATGCTGCTATAGTGTTGAGCTATAAATAGAAAGGTTTAAAAGGCACGATTTACTTTCGGTCGAGTCAAAAAACGAACTCTTGCTATCGGCCAGTCTTTCTATTCTGGCGCAGTCGTGAGAGTTTACACCTTCCGTCCCCAGTCTGAGCTCGCGTGTACATCTGGCAGCTGGGTCACTTAGGTCGTATCGATTCGAATTGAAGTGCCTACTGTATGCATTGGGTACTATCAATGAAGAAGGTTTCGTCCCTTCTGACTACGGGTCGAAACAACTAGGACGTACGACCACAAACGGCCCCTGCTCACTCACCCAATACGGCTGCAGTAAAGGAAAAATGAGAGCACAGTACGATTTACATATTTCTACTCAAAACGGTGATCACAGGTGAGCCCGGTACGCAAAAAACAATACTGGGTCCTTACTGGGAACGAAGAAGACGGCGTTGGCAAGCGGTACAGACATGCAAGTAAGGCAAATTAACGCCCCAGGGTTCTCACCATGGGACTACTGCAAGACGAAAGAAACAAGATTCTTCAGCCACTTAATGAATACGGCTTTTGGATAGCCCACTCGATAGTATCATATCCGAATTCGTTTCATAACCCTCAGCAACTGATATCAAAATGTCTCCGTTCGAAATTCGAAACCTGTGTCCATGGTTCGAGTCCGCGTTACTAGTTGGGATTCGGTGCTTCAGCAGTA